TAAAAACACTTGTCAAATCATGACTATAGACTACTTAATCAAATATAATATTTACTAATATATATATTATATATACCAAAGAACAAAACAAAAAGAAATTCATTAATTTATTTTAAATTTTAAAACAATAACGTATTAATTATTATTTATTCTTAAATAATAAACTGTTAGTTTTCTTATTTCTAAAAAATCAATATTTCTCAGATTTCAAAACGCCATTTTCATTTAATAATAATTATTATACATACAACATTATGAGTTATTATGACAATTAGCTAATTATACCTTTGTAATATATTTTGACCTAAAATATTTTTTAAATACATTTTGACATATTTTAATTTAAAGAAAGTATGTTCGCATTTACTTAAGTAAATATATATTGTAAGCATAAATGTATAATCAAAGTGAAGACCATTTAACATTTTTTTTCTTGTCATTTCCACTTTTATATGTTTTTTTTTTTTTTTAAACATCCATTATAAACAATTTTTTTTGTAAAAATATAGTTATTAATAGTAAAAATGTACCTATAAACACAATTTATATCGATTCGACAAAATAATTAATAAAAAAACATGATACATGAGTACGTACACTTGTAATTTTTTAAGTTCAAATATATTAAAGCTGTTCAGTTTTATATTATTTAAGAGGAAGTTTTAACCCAAAATAAAAATTGCTAGGGTGAATAATATATATATTTCAAAGTTAATTAAAAATTAATTTAAAAACTGTTATTTTAATTTAAAATTACACGTATAATGTCATGTCAATATAACTTACGATAAAAATATTTTTTGTCTTATCGTAGAAAAAAATTGCATTTGTCCCGGTTTTTTTTCTTTAATTAATGTTATCATTCTAACGATTATTGATTCTTATTTATTATTTGTTACTATTTTCGATTTAACTACTGATATTAATTTACTGAATATTAATTGATAACAATTGTTGGCAATTTCTATTGATTTTGTTTGGCAAACATCATGTGTACAATCAACCTGATATACTTAGGATAATGAAAAAATATAAAAATATTAGTATGGTTATTTACAAGTATGAAGTAATAATAGTATAGCATTAAATTATGTATTTATACAATAAATATTTTTGCTCGATTAATAATAAATAATAATGCATTAAAAAAAGACGTCAAACACTTGCTTTCTAAGAATTATAATAAAGGACATTTTAATGGCATTTTGAGAATATTTTTAAATAATTAGGTAATTAATAATATATTTCTAAATAACTAGTACCAGATGGTCCCATGTTGGTACTATTATTATTATTATAGTTACGTAATTACGAAATTATGCATAAAAATAAGTAATTATGCGAAAAGAATCACTTAGGTGTAATGTTGTACAGTTAACACTAATTTCTACACGATTTAGAAAACGATATTTTCTAGTTTCGCAGTATTTCTATTGTTTTGGTACCTATCTTAATTTCGTTTTTCAATGATATTTATATAATTATTTATGTTTTATTGAACTAAAAATCAAATCTGATAACGATGATATAGAGGTAGATTTAACTAAACTAGACTAGACTCAAATCATCATGATATATAATTATTATCTACCTATTCATTATTAAGAAAATTTTAATTAAAATATAATATGATAAGTAATGTACAGTTATTAATTTATTATTAATATTTAACTAATTACAAGTTTTTTATCGTTTTTTTGTGGCATTTTGTGAACTAAATCAATTTTAATAATTGATACGAAATTTTAATAAAAAAGTTTATATTGAAATAATAATATAATCGATTTTCATGGATAATATTATAGGTACAATATTGACCTCAGTCTGTTACAATACCTATCCCTACAGAGTTTTTTTTTATCAATGCGAAAATAAATGATGAACTTACTCGAGAAGTTAATATATTATTATATATTATAATAATCCAGAAGTTATACTCGAAGTTGATTTAATTAATAAATTAAACAGCGTAACAACCGATAATTATTGTACAACATAGAAGATAATTAATATTCAGCATGTTACAATTGACCCATGTTACTTTTGTCCCTGGTCTTCCTACAAACTATATAATGTAAAGGTTGTATGTATAATAATTAATAATGTATAGACACAGCACTATAGAAACGTATCTAAAACTAATTAAATTAAAGGAGAACATTCTTTGATGGTTTATAATTGTATCACATTGTTGGTTTTTTACAATTATTGTTAACCTGTATGTAGCACTAGTTTTTAAAATACATTCCGACATTCATCATTGTTATCAGGGATGTGAATTATAATTTTGCTTATAGATAAATTTAATTCAAAACATGTGAAAAACAAATTTGATTCCAAACACAATTTATTTAAAATATGAAATTTTACTTTACATATTTTAATGTATGTAATTATTTATTTTTATTTTTTTATACTAGACAAATTCTAAATCATATTTAATATTTGAATAATATGAAATTTTTGTATAAAACAACTATTTGTTTTTATAAAGCTTAAAATGTGCCGGTAAATATATTTTTTAATCCTTATTTCTTGTTTGTATTCGTTTTTTTTTTTTAATATTTTACGTATATTATGCGTATGTACCTAACTGCGTTTCGAGATATAATTGTGAATACATTTTATTAAGTTTATTTTGCACATTATACCTTTTTTTTTTTTACTATTTCTGGTTATCTTTTAAAATAGGAACATTAACTTCACACCATTCATTATTTACTATTAAATCGACTAGAAGAATTGAATTAATTATTGTTAAAGTTTTTAATAAATCTTGCGTAATTTCATCAAGTTTTTAATTTTTAGTCAAATTTAGGTATCCATGAAGTTCTATCACTGGATGGACACCTATTCATATCTTTTAATAATTAGTGTAAAAAAAAACAAATTTACAGATTTTATAATAAATATTTAGAAAAAAGTTAAACTTACTTTGTGTGTAGTAAGTTCGTCATTTTTTACACAATAAAAACTTTTTAGTTTGCATTTCAGATTCTGAACTGAGTGATGAATAACGTATTGATTTTACAATAAAATGTAAAATGCTTTGATTTTCAACATCAATATTTATCTTAATAGAAAAGTTAATTTATATGGTAATTGTTAGAGGTGAATATTAAAGAATTTCCATTATTTAAAGATAATTAAGAAATGTTAAAATAAAAGGGAAAACTGAAATTTGTATGCAAATATTTTTACCAAAAAATCACTTTAATTTCTTGCGAATGATTGAATTTCATGTATGCGTATTTTATTTATAACATTGGATATTCACCTCCATGAATTAATTAGGTATTTATTTAAAGTAGATTTTTTTATTTTTCGGTCGTTCAAAGATATGAAGTAACTTTTGAAGTTATATTACTCGGAGTACCTATTTCAAAGTATTTCTACGATTTAAATTGTTTAATTATTCCGTATTCGGAAACTATAATATTATTAATTTAATTTGATAACTGTGAATTTCAAAATACCACACGCTTGTAAAGTCGTTGATGATAGGTATAATATATCCTATTATGGTACTTATCGTATATTATTACTGCTGTAGTCGAAAAGTATAGAAGGTATGTTTCGTTGTTTTGATGTGTATAATCTTATGTACGTGACGTTTACCAGAAGTCCAGAAATAACATTTTATTATCATTAGGTACTTACGAAACTATCCAGATGACCTTAATTAAACCAACTGCTGTACTTAGTCACCGGTGATAACAGCTCAAACACCCATTGATCTATTTTCGCCCCCGTAATATAAACTACGCCTATAAGATACTTTAGTTTGCCATTTTAAAATAACTTAATTTAGTATTTTTTATTACTTTATTAGTAAATATTCTAAATATTCAAATACTATAATATAGGACCTCCAAAGTATAGTATAAACCGAATGGAGATTGTCGAAGTTCACATTAACTGTTGGAATACTTGAGGAAAATTACATTGCGGCTTATGAGTACGATGTTCTGTATGAATGATAATGATAACCGACCGTAGCAAAAACTACTATTTAAAGTAGAATCGTAAAAATTGTTTCCGTTACGACGTTACCTACGCGTCAAAATGACGTTATGAGTCACAAGTTTACTCTCGTGAATAATATCTAGGAATATCTTTCCACGTATAGATCATTTCCCGATTGCCGTACACAACGCATCGCAGTTGGCAAAGCGAACCGAGAGAAAAAATCACATTTCAATAATTATAGCATCGACATTTCGAATTCTGTTAAACTATCGTCCAACAAGAAACCCGGCCGTCTCGATCGAATCCGTTTGAACTCCGGGCCACAGCATCGCGCCGCTACGAAATTCGCGAAACGAGATGAATATAGTTGTACAATAAACGAGATATTCGGACCAAAAGAGTTGATCGGTAGGAAAAAGTCTCGGGATAAATTTGCTTCGCGTGGTCGGAAATTTAACCGTTCCACAGACGATAAAAACGGTTTACCCCATAGTCGTACCTATCATTTATTTTGTACTCGCACTCCACAGTCATCGCGTTAGTACCTACATCATGACGGGTATAATATAAAGTCCGTTTTGGTTTTTAGTCTTTGAACGTTACGGACTTCGAGTTTCGCGAACTCGTTTCCTCCCGGCGCATTCCGTCTCCGGAAGGAACTTTATTACTGTTCCCCTCGAAAACAAAAACAAAACAAAAAAACACGAAACACTCGAATACCTCTCTCTATACACGACGACGTCACGAAAGACGTTCAACCAAGGTACACCGCAAAACGTGATGCGCGTGCGCGCGATCGTCGCGTCCGGCTCGAACACCGCCACCGCCACCGCCACCACCGGCACCACCGTCATCGCGCGCGGCAACTCGACAGCGTCGTCCGGTCCCCACCACTCGGAAACCACTACCGTTGCCGCCGCCGCCGCCGCCACTACTCCGCACCGGTTCGACGGTGGACAGGAAGAGCGCGCGGTGGCGGCTGACAATGAGTAAAACGTAACGTAACCCACCTGAAACGGCTACGAAATAATAAAACCAGACCCGCGGTGACCGGGCGCCGAGTACGGCCGCGCGCGCGCGCAAACACACGCACATTCGAACCACAACCGCCGCGCAAGGCGACACGATCACACGCGCGTACGTCACGTCCCGTCCCGTCTCGTCCCGCCGCCGTCGTCTGTAACTTCGCACTCTGCGCCGCGAAAGCGTCACCGTCACCTCCGTCCACGCCCGCGGCCGGTCGCCATGCCGTGAACATGCGGCGGACGCGATGCGCATCAGCAGCCGGTCGTTGAACGGCGGCCGCGTGCTGCTGCGGCTGGCGTTCGCGGTGCTCGCTGTGCACCTGCGAGCTTGCGCGGCCGGGTTGCAGCAGAACGCCGCGGCGGTCGCC